CATGATTCCAAATATTTTCCCTCCCGCTTTCAGGCCACTACGGTATATCCCTATTGCAAAGTAAACTCCAAACAACAAAACCTCGAGCTCCTATGCTTACTCCTATAATGGAGGTTGAATCGAATTTATTAACAGTGACTCAAAAACCAAAATACAAATGGCAAGTGGAATGGTCTATTCCCCCTTTGAACCTACAGTTATTAAGCACAATCTTGATTGATGACACGTCCAGAAACTCCCTTAGCAGACAAATCGATTATCTTTTGCTTGATTTTTGAATAATTCATATTTGACCCAAGAAACATACAAATTTATATTTAAGATTTCTTCATTAATATTTTGTTCATCATTTTCATCCATTTGATTTCAAATAGTTATTTTATTAATATTTTGCTCATTAGAATAATATGCATATTTATGTTTTAAAAATTTATAGAATGTTTGATACAAACAATCAATTCAAGTAATCAAAAGGAAAAACGCATATCCAATATTTAATACTAATAATCAATCAAATAACAAACTGAGCTAATAGGCCTTTAATATAAGTTAAATTGGATATAATTAATTCGGACACATTTTATATACACAAATAGGGCAAGCTCTTTTTCCCTAACCTGTTGGGGGCACATCCCGCGATTTGCCTCCCTCACGATGCTCTAGAGACGGAGCGGTAGGGCTCTCAAGGTTAATGTTCAACCTTTTTTTAAATAGGATATGAGAAAATACAAATTTAGGTTCTAATTAGTTGAAAATTTGATTGGAAAGTGAAAATTTGTAGAGAAATTATAGATAAATTTTAAAAAATTAGAAATGTTAAAGTTTTGGTAAAAGACGTGGGGAAGAGAGTAAGATAAAGCAAGAGAAAAGAAAAAAATTTAAATTTGCTGTGATTTTGGCCCCTATTTGGTGAGTATTAAAGTCATATTTTTAGTAAATTTTGATAAAAGTTGAAATGTCTTATTAAAATTAAATGTTAACTTTTTTTTAGAATAAAATTTAGATTTCAATCGATATTAAACAAGGTTTTATCATATATATATATATATATATATATATATATATATATATATTAAGAAGTTAAAAAGATTCAGAACGAATTCGAAAATTTGAATCCAGGCTGAGAATTTTGTGACATATATCCTTTTAACATCTGTTCGTCCTGCTTGTAGTTTTCGTAGTTTAAAATTTGTATGTAACAATTAGTGGTTAGTGATGGTGTTAACGATCGCAGTAACCGTGACAGTGGAATATATAGCAAAATGTGTGTAACACATGTTAAAAGTGATGTCGACCAGTGGTTCTTTCTATAAATTCCCCATTTCAGCCCAACGCCCTGCGCCTTCTCTCTCCTCTCTATCTCTTCTGTGTATGAAATTTACACAGTAAAACCCAGATTTCTTTCAAATTTCTTATCTGTTTGTGTATGTATCTGTATCTGTATCTGTATCTGTATCTATATCTATTTCTGTTTCGATTATAGAATTTTTTTTCTTTGTTTTTATTTTTTTAAGTAATTTTTTGTATAATCTGTATTTTAATTTACTTTGTCGTTTCCCTTGGAAACGGCGTCGTCTCATGTGTTAAAAATGTGATTGTCTGTTGAATAATTTTTTAATTGGAATTATCTTTGTTTTTTCCCTGATGAAGGAAAAGGAGGTTGTGTAGGGTTACCATTGGGTGCATTAAGGACTTTGCAATTGTGGTGACGTGGAATGTGCTAGGTGATCCACGTGTTGCATGATGAAGAACTCACGCCGTGAAGTTTTTCCGTCAAATAAACGCAAAGAGAGAGATGACGTTCCTAACGTCGTGAAAAAACATTCAACATTCACGACTAAAACGTTAGCCAAGCCGAGCCTTCATAGACCAGCAAAAAAGCCGGTCGATCAGCCGGCTTCAAATAATAAGCTCCTGGCTGGGTATTTAGCCCACGAGTTTTTGACTAAGAGTACCTTATTTGGTCAGCCCTGGGATCCAGCTCCAGTGGAAGCCGTTCCTCTGTCACTAAATCAGAAGCCCTCTCCGAGCCGAAAAATGGAAAATGAGCCGCAAGCGAAAGCCGAGAATGAGGAGGAGAATTATCTGAGATACATGGAAGTATCGCATTTGTTGAAATCAGATGGGGCCCATGTACCAGGCGTGTTCAACCCGACCCAACTCACACGGTTCTTACAGTAGTCTTTACTTTATGTTTTAGAATATTTTTAAAAAAAAAATTCAGTTTCTGCATGATTTAATTTATTGGCTAAAAAAAAAAAAAAAAAAAGCGCTACAGTACGTGGGAAAACCAAGAGAACTCCAAAGTTCAAAAAAACCAAGAATTTGAATGCCATAGAAGAAAAATGTATCAAACACCTAAAGTTGGAAAATCCAATTCCATTTTCAATTCCAATTCAACCCTATCAAACACAACCTAATAATTAAGGCTGATATTATGGGTGAAATCCATTCCACAAAGTGATGGAATGGATTTGACCCATAGAAGATTATATGGTAAATTATAAGCTATAAAATTCATATTAAAAGGAGCTATTTTATTTAACCTAGAGAAGTGATGATATAAAGAATGCAAAGATGGAGTTAGAAGAGCTGCATAATGATTATTCTTCCTGTGTGAATGGTGCTCCACAAGTAATACATTTTATATGCATTCTTTTTCTTTAATTGTTAGTGGTTGTCTGTGAAAGCTTGGCATTTATGAGATTGTCTCTCTGTGTGTTTGTGTTGTTTATTTGAACAATAAAGTTTGTTTATTGTAATTTTGATGAACAGGAGAAATTTTTTTTTTTAACGTATTATTTTGTTCTGTTTGGAGGACTACTTGTCTTCAAGTTTTTTACAGTCTTTCTCTTTCATAACTCTGGTTTATTGAAAAGACAAGAAGGAACAAATGAGGGGAGGAAGGAAGAACTTCGGAAGAAGAATAGAAAAATTCTCTGTAGGAATA